AAAGGACATTAAAATCGTTCGAAGTTGATTTCAAAAGTTAATAACAATTTTTTTCGCTAATATCTCAAAAACTAAACATTTCCGCGAAATTTTTATATGAACAAAATTGTACAGAATCCTGTCCGCGATAAGATATTGAAAACGCACTAAAATCGAGAAAAGTTTATTTTAAAAGTTGCCGGTTTTTCAGCAATAACAACACTTTGCAATTAAAAAATGAAAAATATTTTGATAATGGTGCCAATGGGGAGTCAGCACCTTCCATATGCAAAAGGTTTCATTCCGATCGGTCCATCCAGCTAGGCGCAATGCGCGAACATACATAGAAACAAGAAAAATGTTGCCGGTTTTTTTGCAATAACAACACTTTGCAATTAAAAAATGAAAAATTTATTAAAAACAGGAATATTAAGCTTCAAATAAAAATAGGGAATGAGTGCTTTTCGGAACTTTATTCACAAATGCAAATAGATTACTTTTTAAATAATACAAATTTTTTTTAAAGAATCATGGATGCTGATCAGCAAAATACTCGTAAGTATAATTAAAATTTCAATGGAAAATTAATATAATGCATGATGCAAGAAAATGTACGTAAGATATACAGGGTGTTCAGCGATTTACTGGCCAGCGTTTTTCTCATAAATGACTGGTACCAGCAACAAATGAAAGAGGAAAAAGTGTTAGTGTTTTTTTATAATCAACATAATGAAGTATGTACTTTTTTCGTGTTTATACTATTTTTTAAGATATGAAGATAATCTTCAGTTTTTTAACCGACTTCGAAAAAGGAGGAGGTTACTCAATTCGATCAGTATATTTGTTTTTTTTTAATGGAATGGTATATATTTTTTTATATCATATGAAAGAGCGTGTCGAAACGAATTCAACAATGTATTAAATCATGACCTTGAAATCTATTCCGAGTCAAAAGTAAACGAAATATTTCAAATATTTCGTATTACTATACTTACCGGTATTTCTTACTGATATGTTTACATTTC